TAAACAAACTGTTGATAAGATTTTGAGAACATTTTCGTAGAGGAGATAGAGGTAGAAGCTTTGCAATATTCTCTTGAAGCGCATGAGTTTAGGATTAATGAGAGGAGGCATAATCAAGAGCAGAATTTTTAATTAGAACAAAGGGGAAAAGATTATACCTCAAAAGAAAAGAAAACGTTCAAACAGAAAAAACAAGATGAGAAAACAGGTGATACTTTCAAGAATAAAAAAGATCACAAGAAGCAGCATAATACATCTAGTGATGATAAAGAATATAAGTTTGACAAGAAGAAGATAAAGTGTTACAATTGTCAAAAGTATGAATACTTTGCACGTGAATGCTGGGATGGTGAAGGTGTTAAGAACTAGCCAAAGAACCAAGCTAATTTAGCTCAAGATGATGCTTCTTCAGATTCTGATGTGGTGATGTTAATGGTCAAAACCAATGATATAAATTCAGAAGAAACGTCTTCTTGGTACCTTGATTCAGGGTGATCCACGCATATGACTAGGAGAAAAGATTGGTTTATTAAGATTAATTATGCATCTCAAGGCAAAATCAGATTTACTGAGAACAACAGTCTCAATGCAAGAAATCATAATTGATGATGTGCTGTATGTACCAAGTTTGAAGACAAACTTGATGAGTCCCGAACATTTGTCATGGAAATGTAGGAAAATGGTTTGAGTGTATATGACAAAAACCATAAATTAGTGGTTCATGCAAATCTTTATGAAAATAGAACCTTCCGTGTTGGTATGAATACACGAAAGCATAAATGTTTTGCCACTACAGATAATAAGAATGAGTGAGTATGACATAATAGGTTCGGTCATCTAAATTTTCAACATTTGCATAAGCTTAGTCACAAGAATCTGCTACTAGACTCCCCTCAATTATGATTCCAGAGGAAGTTCATAGAGAATGCATTCAATGCAAGCAGGTCAGACCAAAGTTTAAGAAATTTGTGGCTAGCAAAGCAACTGAGAAGTTTGGTATGGTGTACTCTGATGTTTGTGGCTAATGCAGGTTGAAACATCTTGTGGAAATAGGTATATTGTTACCTTTGAAGATGATCTCACAAAGAAAATGTGGGTTTATTTGTTGACAAGGAAAAATAAAGTGTTCTCTATGTTTGAAAAGTTTAAAAGATTGGTTGAAAGATAGAGTGGAAGCAAGATAAATGTGTTGTGGTCTGATGGTGGAGGTGAATATGTCTCAGCCGAATTCGATGTCTTTTGTGAGAAAGAAGACAACATCTATGAGTTTACTTTACCATACACTCCTCAACACAACGATATTGTTGAGTATAGAAATCAAACTTTGCTAAATATGATTAATGCATGTTGAAAAGCAAGTTTTTGCCAAGTTATTTTTTGGGAGAAGCAATTGCCACAACTGCATATGTGTTGAAAAGGTCTCCCCCACCAAGTGTTTTGGAGATGATGACACCTAAAGAGGCTTCAACAAGTGTCAAGCCTGATGTAACACACCTTAGGATATTCGGTTCACTATGTTATAAGCATCTATCTGAGCAGCTCAGAAAGAAACTTGATGATAAAAACATACCACAAATTTTGGTTGATTATCATGTGATAGGTGGATACAAACTATTTGACCCCATCTCAAAACAGATGTCAATTAGTAGGGATGTCTTTGTTACTGAGTTAACCAGCTATACATGGACAACCACCAAAGAGAATTCAAATGCTTATAAAGTGTTATTTGAAGATGAAAATCCAATGGAATAGAACAGAAATGTTGATCATGGTGCGAGAAGATCATCCAGAGTTACACAACTCTCATCTCATCTTCGTGATTATGAAGAGTTTAGTGATTGAGTTGTGTTAGCAGAGAGAAATCTAGTGCATTTTGCACTCATTGCAGAGTCTAAGTCAATCATGTTTGAAGAAGTAGTAAAAGAGATTCATTGGTGGAAAGCTATGTAAGAGGAAATTGATTCAATTGAAAGGAATCAAACCAGGGAGCTTGTTGAGTTGTCATCAGACAAGAAGTCACTCACACTCAAGTGGGTTTATAATATTAAAGTAAATCCAAAGGGTGAGGTTATAAGATACAAAGCAAGGCTTGTATCCAAAGGCTTCTTACAGAGAACTGGAATAGACTATGCACTTGTTGCTAGGATCGAAACCATCAGATTGGTGGTTGTTATTGTTACAAATGCTAATTAATCCTTACACCAGTTAAATGTTAAATAAGTTTTTCTAAATGACTATCTTGAAGAAGAGGTTTATGTGAAGCATCCTAGGAGGTTTGAGCATAAGAGTGAATAACATAAAATGTATAGGCTGAAAAAAGCCTTATATGGGCTTAAGCAAGCACCGAGAGCATGGAACAAGTGGATTGATAGTTTTCTTGACAAAATTGACTTTGTTAAGTGTATGTCCGAACATGGGGTCTATGTAAAAGTTTGGGAGAAAAGTAGCAGAGTTGAAAAAAATCATCATATGCTTGTATGTTGATGATCTTTTGATCATTGACAGGAATGAAGAGTTGATAACTTGTTGCAATAATGAACTTTTAAAGGAGTTTGAGATGAGTGACTTGAGAAATCTTAGTTATTTCTTGGGTATTGAGTTCAAGCAAACTCCATATAGGATGATATGCATTAGACAAAGTATGTTCGTGATATGCTGAAGAAATTTTCAACTCTAAAATACTAGGTTCAAAAAATCCTGTTAGTGACAATTCTCTAACTTAAGTAAATTTTTGGCTGAAAAAAAATAAAAACACTTTCCAGAAAATATATATATTTACACGGATATATATTTATTTATATATAAATATAATTAATTTGTAAGTTATTATCAGAAAATTACAGTAGTTTAGTGGTTAGAGTATCAACTTTTAACTCTAAAATACTGGGTTCGAATCCTGTCAAGTAACAATTCTCTAACTTAAGTAAATTTTTGGCTGAAAAAAATAAAAACACTTTCCAGAAAATATATATATAAATAAATATATATTTACACTGGATATATATTTATTTGTATATAAATATAATTAATTTGTAAGTTATTATCAGAAAATTACAATAGTTTAGTGGTTGGAGTATCAACTTTCAACTCTAAAATACTGGGTTCAAATCCTGTCAGTGACAATTCTTGAAATTAAGAGAATTTTTGGGTGAAAACACATTCAACGTTGGTTCATCTAGAACCGACGTGGAAAGTGCTTTCTACGTCTGGTTGACTAAGAGCCGACGTAGAATGTGTCCAACATTCAACTTTCAACGTCGCTTTTTAACCAACCGACGTTGAAAGTGTATTTAACGTCGGCTCGCCTTTAACCGACGTTAAATGGCGACGTTGAAAGTATATTTTGTAGTAGTGTATCAACTTATGAATGGATAGTTTTCATAAATGAAATCGAAAAAAATATATATATATATATATATGTCTTTTTTAACTTATCTAACATATTTTTTATCAACTAAAATCTATTTTGAAGTTCTTAATTTTGTTCTAATCTAAAATATATAATAATAAAAACTAATTATAATAAACTCAATCTAATTAAATTAGTAAATTAAAATAAATAGTATTATATTATTTGTTTTAATTTTTGAAGATTTCCGTTTAACATTTTCTACACTTATATATTTCTGATAAAAAGTTTTGAAAAAATTGTTAAAATTTCATTTATTTGTTTCTCTGAAGTTCTTCCTTTATTGTATTCATTGCAAGCATTTAACCATGTGTTCCAAATATCTTTGTTTTTTTCCTAAAGATGATTCGAGAAAGATGGAGAGGGTCTTTGGAATTATTCAGGCGATTGAAAAAATTGAAAGTTTGAGATTATACTAGAAAAAAAGAAAACTGTAATCTAGAATGGTATTTATGAGGTGAGTTAAGTTGTTGACAATGTTATTAAGAGAATCTTGGATCACTTTTAATTAAAAAAGTTGTAAGTACAAGAAATTGTCATTTTTTTAAAATTAACAATTTGTTATTATAAGTAATTAAATTAATTAATCGAACATGATAACAAATTTTAATCACTAAAATATTCAAATTAATTATTTAAAACTTAAAACATGAATCATGTCAGTGGCAAACTGATGAAATGACGAAATTTAAATGTTAAAAAACATCAAAGCCAATTTTTTTAGCTAGAAACGAGCAAAGCAAAGTCCGACACATTATCCCATTATTCAATCATTGCTGAAAGAATGATTCCATTATCCCGTCCTTGCCAAAAACTGATATGAATTGTTTAACTACTGCTTTTCAGTAATCTTCAAGCCTAAACTTAACCTAACATTAAACAATGATTGCCCCTATCTTTTTCTCCTAACAGCAATTACTTTTGGCTTAAACATCAAATGTTTTTAGATTTGAACATTGTTAATTTTACAAATTTCAATTAATTAATTGTAGAAAAACTATTTATTCATGTATTATATTTTTTAAAGCATTTAAATTTTAGATGGATTTTATTATGGTGAAATTATTAAATAACTATTAATTGAAACTTAATGACGTAAAATGTTCAGTGAGTAAAGTTACGCAAATGTAAAGTTAGAATGACCAAAATTACATAACTACAATTTCTAAGAGATGAAAAGTGCAATTATCTATATTTTTTTACATTATACACTAAATTAATTATTCCTATCAATTTAGAATTTTAAATATTTATTCTCTTGTAATTTATTTTTGTAGTTTACTTAAATTTTAAATTTATTTATTTTTACCCGTAAAGAAAAGCAGTTATGGTTTTATTGGGCCGAAATAATAAGAGGAGCCACGAGTGTCTTAGGTGGCCACCAACTGCGTAATAATAATAAGACATGCTATGCTTGCTAAGGTTACTTACCGAGTCCAACAAATCCGTGATTTTGATAAATACCAACGACGGTTGCGCGGGCACACAGTTACTAATCACTCTCTCTCTTTCAGTGTCCTCATCCTTTTCTCTCTGAATTCTGCACCAAATCCCTAATTCACCAAACATTTATTCACCATGAATCTCGACAATGCCAGGCACAACATGTGAAGTGATGCAAAACGGCAACCGCAATTGTTTCGCCAGGTTAGTTTCATGGCTCGCTCCGAAATTTGGTAGAGTTAGATTTTGTGCGTGGTAATAATAATAGTTAAGTTTATTATAAGGTTTTGACATGGATGAAATGGTAATGTGTATGATGAAATGGTAATAACAGATCCTTTGTTCATTGATGGGGAGAAAAGGAAGCAGTTGGTTCTCGTCTGTGAAGAAAGTTTTCAGGTCATCTTCTAAAGACTTGCCAGAGCCCGAGAAGAAGGTCGTTCATTCCTCTATTCTTATTCTTGTGTTGGTTTAGTAGATGATTTGCAAGGTGCTCTGTTGTTATAATAACTGTTCACTGTATTTCTTAAAGATACGAGCATTCGTGTTTGGAATTTTTTGGGATGAAAAACACCATCATTACTCTTATTTTTACTTTATTTGGAAAGTTTAACACCCCATATGGGTATGTAGTGTTTCTGAAAGTATAAAAGAATCCCATAATCTTATTTAGGATATAATATTTTTTTTCTTAATTAATCAAGATCTAAAATTTTCTGAAATTTATCATGATCATCCAGTTTCAAAACGTACAATAAGTTAGAAGAAAGATCCGCATCATTTTTATTCTAATCTCAATTTGAATACTTGTTTTGATACGTTTAGAATATTCACATCACTTGAGACAAAAAAAAATTGTACTAGTATTTGTAATTTTCTATTCCAAAATTACTTTTTCTTCTTTATTATATTCCCCTTTAGGGTAATGAGCAACGTGTTGTTTTAATATACTTTTAAATCATAATCAACTCCAATCCTTTATTTTGCCATTGATCAAAGATCTTGAAGTAGTCATGGACTTTCCTGAATTCCAAACCCAAAAGGAAAAATAAAATTGTGTATCCATATATAGGTATGCAGCACAAGGAATGGCATGATCATAATCAATTTCTGCCTTTCGCGTTAAAGGCCAAATCCTTTTCCATAGGCTAAGTGAACGAGTTAGTTTGCTTGCTGCAACATAGTTTTTGTTTTTTGTGCGCTCCTCCACAATAATGATGAGATGTGCCTGGCAATTTCTCAGCTTTCGGGACCATCAACCTGATACAGCATGTAATTATGTATGTGTATGTATGGTCCCCTACGAAGTCAACCTGTATCAAGTGTATTTGCAACTATGTGTGTCTCATAGTTATCATACCACCTAACCCATCACATCACTCATCTTGAACATCGTGTGCTTGCTAAGTTACATGCCTTTCATCACCTAAAACAAACATAAAAACAATGATACTTTTCATTATGTGATTTGCTCAAGCGATCGCAAATCACCAAAATCTTTTCATCTCTTTTTGTAACATGCACTTCTTTTCTTATTACGACAGATAGTATGTATGGATTTTTTTTTTTCTAGTCTTATTTCTTTTATAAAAGCAAGAATGAGGGGAAAATACTGTACAATTTAAGGGGTAAATCATGAATGGAGTAGGTAGGTACTTTGGAGTGTAAAAAAGGAAAAATGATATTTGGAAACTTATTTTTTTCAAAAATTATTAATCTCTTATCTTTAATTTTTTACCATATAATTAGTGTACACTAATGCAGAATAGTAATTGGATGATGATGCTTCTGCAGACGAATTTCTTTGTTTTGTTTGTTGCCAAAACTTGGATATGGATAGCGTTGTATTAAGGATAGGACCTGAAGACATAAAGAATTCTAAATCGCTTAGATGTAAAGGAAAATTACATTAGTGGTAAATATTTGCTCTATAATTTCTGCATCAAAATTATGTTCATAATCAATGTAAGAAAAATTACACTAATTCAATGTCTGGTGTAAAAAGTTTCTCCCATTTAAAATCTCAGTTTTATTTGATATGAAATTAGTGGCGCTAATATATTTTTCTCCTCTGTCCTGTCTCGTTAAGTCGAATAGGTTTTCGGTGCCCAAAACTTTTTTTTTTTTTTTACAGAGAATGTAACTAGAAGTATGGTGAAGAAACTAGATGGTAGGATTTTAAATCATGTAAAAAAGAGAAGGAGACTGAAAAAGGTGGAAAAAGGACTTTTGCTGAATGCTGTTGCGTTATGCATATAACTGTTTTCACTTAATAAAATAGGACTTTTGTTATTGTAATCACAAATTGAGTGGATTTCATTTTCAGAAGAACACACAGAAATTACAGCATGAAGTGGCAGAGGTGGTGTCTTTTGAGCATTTTCCAGTGGAGAGTTCTCCGGATAATAATGTGACAAATGAAGAGAGTGGCACTTCAACGCCGGTTACACAAGATCGAAGCCACGCCATTGCCGTTGCAGCAGCCACTGCCGCAGCCGCTGAAGCTGCCGTGGCGGCTGCTCAAGCAGCTGCAAGAGTGGTGAGATTGGCAGGTTATGGACGCCACTCCAAGGAAGAAAGAGCTGCAATACTCATTCAATCATACTACAGAGGCTATCTAGTAAGACCTTGTTTCTCTCTCCCACAATCTCTAATTATTTTATATTTTTAAAATTCTGAAATTGTAAAACTTGTATCTTAATAGTTGAAAAAAAAAATGTTGAATAAATTTTCTGTGTGTAAAGTGAATGGTAGCATTGGGTTGGGTGGTGAATTAATGAATTACATGCGTAGGCTCGACGTGCACTGCGAGCATTGAAGGGATTAGTGAGGCTGCAAGCACTAGTGAGGGGACACAATGTGCGGAAGCAAGCGCAAATGACGATGAGGTGCATGCAAGCACTGGTGAGGGTGCAGGCCCGAGTAAGGGCTCGCCGACTCCAATTGAGTCACGTCGAGGAGCAAAGACAACATTATGAGAAGATCGAAGAGCCCAAGCCCAAGCCCATGAGCCCAATGAGAAAGACAGACATTAATAATGGCTGGGACAATCGGCGTCAAAGTAGCTACAAGATTAAGGAAAACGATTTGAGGAAACATGAAGCTGCAATGAAGAGGGAGAGAGCTCTTGCATACGCTTTCAATTATCAACAGGTATTATTTTTCTTCTTCCTACAACTTAATGTGGTATCCTTGCAAACTTTTGATTCTCACCTATTTTTGAAGGAATTTTTTACAAGAAAAAAAAATGAAATGAAGTTCTTGATAATTTGTAATTAATTTATGTATAATTAAAAAAATGGTGTTTAATTTGTTATGCACCATTTTGTTTGCAGCAACAGCAAAAGCAAATTTTGGTGGCTGAATCGAAGGGTAAGGATGATGTCGGAATAACGTACGAGCGTGAAAAAGGGCAATGGGGTTGGAACTGGTTGGAGCGTTGGATGCAATCGCAACCATACAATGTGAGGAACATGGGGCCGCGTGAGGCCTCTTACATGACTCTCGCTTCTACAACATCAACCACCACAGATAACATGTCTGAGAAGACCGTGGAAATGGACATGATTGCAACTCCAGGCCCAACCAACGTCAGAAGCATCAGCAGCCCAATAAACCAAGACTTTGTTGATTCAAGCCCACTTTCCAATAGGCACCATCATCACATACCTTCCAGCCCAAATAGACGCTATATGGCCCCAACTCAGTCTGCAAAGGCGAAGGTTCGGGGTCAAGGCCCATCGAAGCCTCGGGTTTCAGCTGGGACTCATTGGAACTCCTCGGCCAAGGCAAGCTCAACCTGTGACTCGTCTAGCTCTGGTGGAGGAATCGCTGCTTACCAAATTCCAAGAAGTCCAAGCCCAAAAATTAATGGCACTCGTTCACAGTCTAGAAGGATTGTGGGTAGCAGTCCAGATTACATTGAGGATTGGGCCCTTCCTCTCGGAGCCCATGGTTGGGCTTAATTTCACTTTTTCCAGAAGATTCTAAAATCTATTAATAATATTAGGTGAAATTACTTATTTGGTTTTTATAATAACATAAATTTTATATTTTAGTCTCTATGTTTAAAAATGATTTTCGCTTTATATATAATCTCTTTTAGTCTATATAAATATAAAGATAGAAACTAAAAGAGATTAAGAATGATCAAGTAGAAAATAAAACTGATATAATGGAGACTAAAAAATAAAATTTAAATATATTATAAAGATTAAATAAGTAATTATACTTAAATATTATAATGGAGTGTATGTTTTATTATTATATTTCATAAGTGATATTTATGTACAACTTAATAATGGAGTTGGTGAAGTCAAGAATTTCAATTTTGAGATTGTATACGGTAAACACAGTTTATATTATGTTTTATATGCAAGACAAGTTTATGAGTCATGAATTTGTATATTATCATTTTGTCATTTAATATATTTAGTTGTTATATGATATGATTCGAGGATAGAATAAGAATATAAATTGAGATGGTAAATTAAATATTAAGTTTTTAATATGCACTGTAACATGATTGAATGACAATAAGTTTTAATAAGAATAATCATATTAATTTTAACGATGATAATAACAATGTTAGTGATAATAATAAAAAAAAACGTGACAGTGTTTAATATGCACTATAATAATATTGAATGACAATAAGTTATAATAATAATAATTATAATAATTATGACGATGATCATGATAACAATGTTAGTGATAATAATAATAAAAAATATTATAGTGTGATAACAACGAAGAAAGTTGATGAAAGATTAAAAAAAACACTTAAAACTTAAGACTACATTTAGAGTTAATGGATAGATTTTCTTGACTTTTAATTTTGTTTTTATGTTATTGTAGTTAATAATGTTTTCTTTTTCTTTTTTAACTTACTAAATGAAGCTAATTAGTTAAATAAACTAAATATAATATAATATAATATGTAACTATTAAATTTTTTCACTTTCGCCCAGCATCCACATTTCCCCTTAACTTAAATATAGCATATTAATATTATTAATATAAGAAAAAAAAACTAATTTATATTGATTGTTTTTTCTTCATCATATTCTATTCATTACATATCCAAACAATTTTTATTTTACAATGTAAGATAAATGGAAATATAATAATTTCGTTAAATTTATTGATTTTGCAATAACTATTTTTAAAAATTAAATCAACAGTAAATTTATATTTTTTATAATCAGTTTATATAAAATAAATTCAATCTGAATAACAGAAAATTTTAATGTTTTTTTAAAACAATTTTTTATTTAATCATATATTAACAGTTAAACATATTTTTTGTTGTTAAATTTTTTCAATTTGATTTTGATTCTTATAATTTAAAAATTTTCAATTAACTCTCAAACAAATATCTATGAATTTAAAATTTTATCAAATTTTATGATGATAAAAATCATTATAAATATTATATTTAAATATAAAAAAATATCAAAATCATATATTATAAATTTAGATTTTCTATGTGAGAATAAAATTTACCATTCTAAAATCATATATTTTTAAAAATCTATTTCTGAATTTAAAAAAAGTATAACATAATTTCTTTTAATATTAAATATATGCCTGTTTTATGATTATGTTTTTATTTTCGTCATATTTAAATGCCGTAACTAACATTTAAAATCGTAGATTTTACAAAAGAGAGTTTCTCCCGTTCATTACTCCGAAGACTTAATGAGCAGTGACCGTTGTTGATGGTAGTTACCCAGCATTCAGAAATAGTCAAGGTGGGACCCACCACCAACAAAAATAATAATAAATAATAATAATAATAATAATAATAATAAACAGAAAATAAATTGCGTACCTTCTCGTGAAGAAGCGCCATAGGAGCCTCGTCGAGCTTCGCCTCTAACAAACACGTCTTCACTCATTTCTCTCTATAAAACTCCATTTCTATCTGCACGCTCACTCGTCACCTTCATAATAATAATCATGGCCTCAGAGAAGAACAACCTCCACCAAGACCAACCAAAAACACCGCCAAAGCTCTCTCTACTGACAATTTCGCGGGCGAGCATGCTGCCGGAGTTGCCCACTCCACCGCCACGGACGGCGGTGTCGGTTCCGTTCGAGTGGGAGGAGGCACCGGGGAAGCCTAGGCCCTGCCACAGCCGGTCCAAGCCCAAGGCTAGTGGTGACGTGGCTAGAACCTTGGAACTGCCTCCGAGGTTGGTGTCGTTGGAGGCCAAAGCTTCGTCCCCGACAACGGTGCTGGACGGGCCTTACGTTGGACGCGCCATGTCTTTTACGTCATCGTATAGGCCCCCCAAGGACACGTGGAATGCCAATTTCGCGTCTAAAAGGTGGAGCGCGTTGAAGAAGAACGACCCAGGGGAGGGTCGTTTTGACTTTTCAAGTTGGACTGTGGATGGAACTCATAAGGTGAAGATCACAAGGGTTAGGAGAAGAGGAAGCTTCTTGAGCCTCTCCCATGGAAGTGCATGGGTATGGATAATATTTTTATTTTATTTTTAAAATGATTTTTATTTTTTAAAACAAGTTTTTTTTTTAAATTCTATTTCAAAAATTATGTTTTAATTTTAAAGTAATTAATCAAGATTTTTACTTGGTTCTATGATAGTTTTATATTTATTACAATAATATTTTTAAAATCAATTATCTTAAATCTATTAATCCACCAAAACGTTTTAAAAATGAAATCGACTTACGAGAATTTGAAAGCCCACAATAAAAATGGACCTATTATAACATGACATAAAAAGACGCTGGTCCAAACATGTTTATTTTGTCTGATTCTGAAGCGATTTTGTTTCTGCAGGCAAGCATTTATGAAAGCTTTAAGCAAGTGGTCCCATGGAAGAAGCGCAAGAATGAAAAGCAGAGGATGATGGGGAACGAAATTTGACATTGTTTAATCTTTAACCAACTAAACGTTATGTTAGAGTGTGTTGTTAAACATGAATGTAAAGATAACATAAATCTATTCTCTACTTATCGATTAATTCTTCGCATAAATTATATTTTGTAATGATCGCCGTGTTTATACTTTATTTTACTTACCACGAGGTCTAACTTCAAAATTGAAGTTCATTATTCTCATAATTTTGAATCAATTAAATTTTTTAATTATCACACCTTAATTTAATAGATAATAAAAGAAAAAATTAATGAAAATTGAGCATACTTTCTGAATTTTTGTGAGTTGATAATACCAAAATTTCACTAATAAAGTTTTGTACCAAGATTTCTTAATAACTTTAACCTTTTGATTTTAAATTAATTAAGATTTGAATTAATTTTTACTCTTATTTTATATTCGATTAAATAATTTATTAATCTTTCAACTAATTAAATCTCTTTTTGTGAAATAAACAAGAAGATGATATGAAAGTTTCATGTTCTTGCTTAATAATCAATAAAAATGTTTATTTAAAGGTATGAATTCAATTGTATAAGGTCAAACTCAAATAAAATAAAGTAATAAAAATTTTGTTAAAAAAAAAAATGCAAGACATGTAAATCGTATATCATATATGGATCTTGTATATTTTGAGTTTCATCAATTATCATCTAATTCTATTTAAAATGTCTCTCACATTAATTTGGCATGAATAACTTCTCCACAATTAAGGCCGTAGAATTATAAACTTTATATTGCTTAGATATTTCTTAATACCCAAGTAGTGTTACATCATAATTAGAATCAAACTTTCTTAGATTGTGCTTAGTATGAAATACTAACATTAAAACATATGCAAATAAGATAACTTTGAATTTCATGTCTTTACATAATTAGTAGTGAATTTTTCTCTTATAACATTGAAATGAATATCTACTATCTATGTCCATAAATAATATTTCCTTCATGTTAACAAATACACTAACAAAATCAAAATTTTGTCTTATAAAAAAAAATATATTTATAAGAAAAAATATTTTTATTATACATTTATAACAATAAGATAATTAATCATAGAACACGAATTTAGAGAATTTATTTTTTCTAAAAAAATCGCATGCATTTTAAAATAGTTAAATTCTCTTTTACGAGCAGAGTTTAGTTGAATTTTGTAAGAACCTATATATCATATCATGATTTAATAATGACAAAATTATTTTCTAAATAAATTAAGGGAGTTATCTAATCGGAAATCGTTGTAATAATCGATCAACTATTCTAAAAAAATATCTCAACTTGTTAACCGATACAAAACCAAATACTAAATAATTATTTTTTAAAATTTACAGAATAAATTGAATATATTTATTTTTAAGTATGAAAGTAAACAATATAAAAAATAACAAAAAAAGAGAGATTAATTTAACGTAAAAATTAAATTACTTCCTTAAACGTTTAAAATTATTTTATTTTAAAGTTTTTATATACTTTCTATTAGCATTTTCAAATTGTTTTAGACGCTAGTTTTCTTACTATTGGTCAACCCAACATAATCCGTACACTAAAATTCCATCCATCACTTTAAATACTATTATTGTTTATCTGCTCTATTAATAAGTATTAACTTAATAAGACTTGGACAGCAGTTTGATAATTCATTGCATGCATACCAACTATATTGGGTCATTTTTAATGCAATTGTTTTAAGTGAACCAATATCACTATATGAAATTTACCATCTATTAAGATTCAGACTAAATTCATTACTAAAATTTTAATTTGTTTTTATGTTGCATGTAGAGATATTTATGGAGAAAATATTATAAAATTATTTTTTATTTAGTGCATAAATTTGTTTTAATTGATAAAAATTATAGCTATAATTTTTTTGTGTTGCGTCGGACCTTTTTTACCAAAGAGGGTAAAAAAATAATAATTTTATTAGTTCAAAAATTTAAAATTTTACTGGGGTTAAATAATACAAAATAGAACGAATTTGACTCTGATCTACATAATAAAATAGTGTTATGTAGCATGATTTTAATTGTTTGATTTTTTTTATTTTTTTTAAAATATGTTTAGTAGCACGAATAATGTATAGTTTATATTGAACTCGTCGTTCTCCCTAGTACTAGTTTCATTTTTTTTAAGGAATTTTTTATATTTTTAAATATATTATTATTAAATAATTAATTTTGATTTAATTATTAATTTAATAGAAAATAAAAATATTTAGAGAAGTATAGATAAATTTAATGTAGTACATTTATTTTAAAATATTATATTTTAAAAAATATGAATTCATTGTCAAAATAGACAATTTGTACGATTATGTCCTTTATTTTGATAAAAGGAACATTTTTTTGATTTATTTCCAATTTCTACATCCATTTCATTTTGAATCCGATTATTAGGGTCATGACAAGATTTTGGACATGCATAAGTAGATTAATAATCTTCATTTCGAACTGGATGAAATTGAAATCTATATGCGTTATGAATATTTTGTAACTTGTAAATTGGATTGATAAATGCATCCAGTTGTAAATGGCAAGAGGAACAAACAACAATAACATGAAAACAAGGGAGTCTAAGGGCTTGAAATTTCCCACAATCACACCACCATTAATTTAGCCGAATTGTATAACTTATTGATTTTCGATGATGGTGGAGATTGGGTTGGTCTTGTACGTCAAACTCAAAATTATCTCGATTGTACCTTTGAACATGACACATTTGAGCACGTTATTCGTTTTCGTTAAGCAGTGTAATAATATGTTTTGGATACTTGTGTCCAACTTGTAACATATACTCTGCTTTCATGCCTCTTTTCACAAATAAAGATTTAGTTATTTCAAAAGTTGTTTTTACTAAGGGAGATATAGGTAAAGCTCATACTCATTTGAGAACAAAATGCATGGACTCAACAAGATTTGTTATCATGTTCATATCGCTTCCCTCCATAAGCTTGAGTTTATTTCTTCAATAAATGTCATCTAACTAGGACATTGGTTGTTCAAAGTCAGACATTAAATTTAAGCATATAGTTTTGCTAAAAGTTTGGGTTGTTTTATCTCATATCCTCCACACAAAAAAAATAAAAATTCAGACATATGCTATTTAGAGAAAAACATTTGTGTAGGTTAGAAGATGTTACCTAGATTGATGACTTCTCTTTTCAAATCAACATTTTTGAACTTTTGTTGAGATTTGAGGTAATATGTAGAATATAGTATACCGAGGTGAAATTATTCCAATCAAGATCTTCTGATTGTAAAACTGGCAATATTCCTTTGTCTCTATATTTTATCATGCATAAATTATTTTGAGGTGTAATGTAATGTAATGTCTTGGAAGCTGCAAGAACCCGTACCAATGTCTCTTTCGTTTCACCTTGCATAATTGCAAATACAAGTGAAAATGTGTTTCTATTATCATTTTATTAAGTTACAATAATTATCGAAATAATATTATTGTCTATTATTAATATTATTATTATTGTTGTTAATATTATTATTATTATTATTATTATTATTGTTACTAACATTATTATTATTATTATTTATAATATTATTGTTATTGTTAATATTATTATTACTACAAAAATGGTTTGTCACAATCGTCGTCTTCCTACTGATATGTTGTTATTACGTTTTCAGTGAAAGTGATGAAGATCTTATTGAATTGTTTTGGCAAAGATCTTGTTGATTTGATGAAGTCAAAAATGAAGTCAAAAGGCTACTTTGTGGCAGTCAAAGGTCACTTAGATAAAAGAGTAGTGAGATTAGTGAGTTTGCATCTCTCGCTTAGGTATAATCATTTTTATCTCTCTGTTGCATGAGGTTTCTTCGTTTAAAAGATTCTCGCAAATGCCTCTAAAAAATATTTAAACGATTAAAAACAAAGTATTTTGTTAAAAGGTTTTTAATCAACTATTTTAACTAATAGTATATAAGCTTTATCAACTAAAATGTTTTTAACACTTTTGTAACAGGTTTTTAACTGATATGTTTTCGAAATAATCGATTGTTTACATTAGAAGGATTTTTAAAAACCTTCTACCAGTAATTTAACTGATATAGAATTGTTATAATCGATTAAAATGACTTAGAATATTTTGAAAAGTGTTGTGGCAGTAACTTTAATCGATACAAATGTGAAATAATCGATTAAAACAACTAAGGAGTTTTTCCAGAATGTTTTAATCGATTAACACAAGTTTGCTATCAGTTAAAATAACTTAAAAAGTTTTATGAAATCTTTTGGCAGAATTATAATCGATTAAAATGCGTTTCAATCGATTAAAATAACTAAGTGGACTTTTTTTCAAAGTGTTTTAATCGATTAAAACAGATTGTTATCAGTTAAAATCACTTAGAAAAGTTTATAAGAATGTTTTGCAGTATTTTAATTGATTGAAAGACAAAACAATCGATTAAAACAGTTTGGAAGATTTTTCACAAAGAGTTTTAATTGATATAAACGGTGTCGTATCAGTTAAAACAAATCTGGAAAATAATCAAAAACTTTTTAACAGATTAAAAGAAGTTTTAACAGATTAAAACAAGACTTTTAACATATCAAAAGATTATTTTAACAGATTAAATAAACCAGCAGTTTTGAAAATCTTCTATATAAACAGAGTTGCTTGAACTTTTTAAAACACATCTTTTTAGAAATCAATCAAACAATCATAAGTGCTACTTTCAAGAGAGAATCACACTAGTTTTTTTAAGTTCATAGAAGTTATTTCTTGAGGCAAAATTTGCATTCTCTTGGAGAAGAAACTCACACTGCAGAGTTGCATAAATATGGTTTGAGCGTTCTAATTTCTTCTCTTTGTTTCTTTACTTTCTTTACTGTATTGTGGGTGCCTGGAATTGTGGGCACTGGGTTCTGTAGCTGGAATTTGGCTGCAGGGTTGGTCAAGAACTGGAATTTGGTTCTTGGTGAAGGTTTAGGTGCAGGAACTGAAATTTTGGTTCTTGTGGTATATTGAATGTGAG